ACGGTGGCTCTGTGTCATACAGCATATTGTAAATGTCTGCATACATTTTGCATCGCTGCTGTATTATTATACCTAATTTGCAAATGTCCTAAACAAACTACTTGGTGGATTTCATTGAGTCATCCACACAAGCATATACTTTACTCATGTGATTTATTCCCTGAGTGCTTTCATTGTAGGTCAGCATAATCAGTGCTGCCTACTTTTCTATTGCACAACTTAAGGAAGTGCACTCGTCTGTTATAGTGTTTTTCAGTCTCTCAATCTTCATCTTACCAGTAAAACGTTAACAATTAACTCTGTGGAATCAGCTTGTAAACAGAAGTGCTGTAGAACTCGATAGGTCACAGGACATTAGCCTTTGTTAGGTGAATTTCAGTGTAGCCCTGTAAAAACGACATGCGCCATCAAGTTTGTGGATACAGCAAGGCTTTCGGAGTTGGAGTGAAAACCTAATTTGGTTACTTTACACTTTCATTTTACAATATGTGGCTCACTGGCTTCCAGTAATTCTCCTGGGGTCTTGTGGTGTACGTTCACTGCTGAGGTAAAAAAAATAAATAAATAAAAAAATAAAAAAAAAGAGCACAGACTTATGAGGGTGAGCCTTCTAGGGCATGGAAAACTAATCAAGGGCCAAAACACTGCTGTCGAAATTCAGCTTGTAACTGTGTTTATGGAGCCGTTGCAGGCTGTGCCAACACAAACCTCTCTGGTCTGGGTTTATCACCTCCAGAGATGGCCATGATTAGCTCCCCACACTGCTAGCCATATATCTCAGCTGTCCCACCTCCCCACGCTCAGGATGACCCATTAAACAGAGACGGAGAAAGAGAGAGAACATGAGTAGGAGGGATGGAAACGATGGAGAGCAGAGATGCTACCTGTAGTTAGTGTAATAGTAGTGTTTACACAGCCTCTGCGCGCTCTCTGCGTACTGTGTCTTACATTGTCTGTTTGTAGACTACTACTTCTGTATGGGTGGCCACTCCTTTGCCACACACATGTACACACGCACACAAGGGGTATTAACTTGAATGACAGGCACCTGATGTGGGTGGCAAACAAGCAAACAGCATAGGTTAGTGTTTTTTGTGAACTCACACAGAGGCTCTTTTGTCCTCAACAGTTTACCGTTTGAGATGCTCACATTCCAGTGTTCCCTTGTTAATTACTTCCCTAAACCTCTTAGTCTTCTGCCTATTATGCAGTGTATATATACTGTATATGTCACGGTCTGCAATACTGAGAACTCCCCAGACACTCAAGACTCCAAAGCTTCTTCCTAATGGACTTAGAGAGCGGATGCTCTCATGAATGGCTGGTGATATAGGGTTATTTCTACTTTGTATCATTCAATAACCTTCTCTTCTCTTTCGTGGTGCCTCTGTGTTTAGATGTCATGTTTCCACCACAGCATCCTCTCTCTCTCTTGCTCTCTCTGTCGCTCTCTCCATATGTATGTATGTGTGTATATATATATATATATATATATAAATAGGATATATGACATCTTGACAAACTGGACAGAACAGCCAGTGCTGCACTGTTAGTTGTCTTTAGCCTGATTGCAGACCAATGAATCACCACCTACATCTCAAATTTTGTGGAATGATTCAAAATAATGAATTCAATGGGGCTGTTGCAAATGCCTGTTCCTTGACAGCAGCTAACCAGCCCAGGAAGCTTCAGGCTTGAATTTATTAAACAGCCTCCCCTTTGTTTCTCCAATACATGTCCGTGTTGTAAGTGATAATGAGGTGGAAAGTTCTAACAAATCTTTGACTTTACTTCATCTATTGTTTTCCTATATTAGGATCCCCTGTCACGGGTAGTTAACTAATTGTGTTTGCATAAACACAGCATATTAAAAAATTAAGTTTTTCATGAATGTATTGAACCTTTACTAACTGTGTGCTGGCTAACACAGCCTCAGTCAGTCACTGGTGAACAAAAAGACAATGTTAGTCCAAATTGTGTTTGCTAGAATTCCATAATTTTGATGTTATATGTTGTGGCCTACTAATTTCTGAAAGATTAGTTCAGTTTGTGGACTGCAGTTTCAAACTGTATTCATTTAGATCATCCACTGTAGCTGTAAAACAATTTAACTGCTGAATTCATCCGGACTAATTATTGTGATTATTAATTAGAATCTCAATTTCTGGTGAAATAATCTGGATGATCATTTTGGCCATAATTATGCAGTACCAACTCTTTCTCTCTCATGCATGCTTTCCTCTCTCACTCACACACACAAACCAGGCTGCAGAATTAAATCATTACCAAGACATAAGGATTCACATACAATCTCACAAGGGCAGACATCCACCCCTTCATGTTCTCATTGTTTTTCTCTCGCTCTCCCACATAGCAGCAAGCAATGCCTTCCTGTGTTCTGAGCCACTTGCTCAGATTTTGGATCACGCTGTACCATTTCCACATTGATGCCCTGTCCTTCTCTCACCGGCACCAGCACCACCAACACACAACACAAATGCACATGGTGGCAAGCGTTGTCCCATAGTATTTGTGTGCAGCTGGGAGGCACCAAGCTGCACTGGGATAAATAAGTAGCTAAATAAATAAAGAATAAACCTCGCTCTAGGAATTTGTCTCATTGAAGATGAAAAGCATCTGCCTCTCTCTGGCATCTGCTGTGAAAGATATCCCTCCACCGCCAAGGGTTTGGAGCACGGCGAGTAGCCAACTCTATCAGCCTCACTCACTCTGTCTACCCACCGACATGAACCAACGCAACGCTGGCTCACATAAAAATGAGTGTCAAAACAAATTTGTCAGCCAGCAAACTTGATGTGAGTTACGCTCATCTTGCAAAGCTAAGTTGGGGTATTAACTTGAAATAAAAATGGGGCCTAAATGTCTTTAATTCCGGTTGCAGAGGGGGGTGTGTGATCCAGTCCTTTGGCACCCTGAACAGTGTATTTGTGTATGTTTTTCTTCGACAGACTGCTACAGCTTAACACACCAACAATGAGCTGCATTCTCATTACCAGCGAAGGTGAAGACACAGAGGGAAGGTTTTTTATTCCAGAGGTTTTAAATTATTTTAGCTTCACTTTTGGGTACGTCTCAAAAATTTACATGCAGGGAAGAGTATAATGCAGATTGACACAAACACAGCTTGAGCTTTCACTGACAATAGCTGATGTTGGCTGCACACACTGTTTGGAAATTCCTTAGATGCAAGACATGTTGCATCGGAAATTGGTTTAGCAGACTTGAAAGCCTGGAGGCACATTCCTGTAAGTGACAAACGGTGATGAAGAGTTAGCCAACAATGATACCTGTCGGCGACTGTGCCCAGGTGAGGCATTGTTCACATCATTTTTACTCAGCTCTCCTCCCTTGCCAAGTGACTTGTCATACGAGGTTAAACCGGCAAGTTGAAAGTCCAATTTTTTTTTTGCTTTGCTTAGAACTCAGAACTCAGCCTAACAGAATGTTTTCTTTTGTTTCACATAGAGGGTGGTCAAAGAGATGCCCAGTCTGTGTGTGTTTTTCGCTGTTTCCACACGCACTGAAAAAGCCACATGAGTAATGGGCTGCTCAACACCTCCACAGGCTTAAGAATGGAAAGTTTTTTTTTTCCCACAAGATACTGGAGGCATTGTGTTCCTGACACTCTAACTTATTTAGCTGAACTGAATAGACTAAAGCTGACCGGCCACCCAGCAAGCCTCAAGATATTTCACATTGTGAGACCCTCTCTTTCTCCTTTCACAAATATCAGCAATCAGCATTGTTCTGTCACCACTATGAACTGGGCAGTGAGACTGAGCAGACGAGCTTGAGAAAGTTTTCAAATCCAATCCAGTAGGCCTCTTGTAAAAGCTTTGTTCAGAATCATTGTCAGAGAGCTCTTGGAAGACAAAACGTAGGCTCACTTTAAAACTTTCAAAACTTTTCTCATTTTAGTTCTTTTTTTTTTCTGAAGTCCTCTGGAGATACCGCTTTAATTCCATCAAAAGAGAGATATCTATCCTTACTATATTGTGGTCTGCTGTACAGCGTTATGATTACTCATCACAGATGGCCATGGGCTACAGCAGGGATAAGAAATTTAGTTAGCTCATTTTATTGGGATACACAGTTACTTTGTTTATAATAGCATTAGACGTCGAAACTGCAGGCTATGACAAACTTAAGGTCATATATCTAAATCTTATCAGCTGGCTTAGTCATTTCCTACACTAAATCTAATTCCTAAAAAGACAAAGAGTCAGTGCATGTGCAGTTTGTTTTGAGGGACAGCCTTTGTTTTTGTGTCTCCACCTACTATTTAAAGTGATGGAGGAGTGCTTTGTGTTTCATAGCTCGTTCAATTATGGTTAATTTGTGGTACACCTGCTGCTCCTTTGTTGACCAATCGTCCCCCCACGGGCTATGTTGTATGTTAAATGTTTACGTGTGCGTGCATGTTGTCATTCTCTGAGATCATGGCACTTTGTTGATTTGAACCCATCTGGATGACAGAGTTTCAATTTCTTAATGGGGAACATTAAGTGGGCGGTGGTCCTTAGGGAGAACTGTTTAGGAGGTCCTCTGGGTTTATGACTGATCCTCATTGTGAGAGGATGACTGAGGAGCTTAATCCTGCGTCCTGACCTCCCCTTTGTTCTTGTTATTTTTTCCCATGATTTCTCTCCGTGGCACTGTACTGCATTTGTTTTCTAACTCCTCTGCTGATGTAGTTTGCGTGTTACATTCGCTTCACTTGTATTTTCCTCTGCCCCGAGCAGGATTTTGTTGTGGTTAGTGGGTGCCTTTTTGATCGCGACCAAAGATCCCCAGTGTTGTGTGCTGTTGTTTTCTTACAAGTATACAAAATTTCAGTTTCCTTTGGTTCTGCTCTGCGACTTGCTTTTGATATTTTTGCTTTACTGTGTTATTATGCTCATTCAAATGTATGCAAATATATCGTGAGTTTGAATACTAATGTTTCTGTACTCCTGTTCTGCATGTGTTTGCTCTCCCAGGTGTTAGTCTTTGATCCTGTCAGAGTGGGACGCATCTAGCAGGGGACTGAGGAGGGAGCAGTGCCAACTTGGAACATGGTGCCTAATATTCACCTGGCAGTGCCCCTCCTGCCCAGAGGGGCGTTGCTGTTCCTGCTTCTACTCAGCTGCATGGTGTTCTCCTCTGTGGCAGACAGTAAGTAACCTCATTCACCTGTGAAGTCCTGCCTTGCTTTCCTTACAATAAACCTCATAGGTACAATGCATTCACAAAGTATTCAGACCCCTTCACATTTTGTGATGTCGCAGCCTTATGCTCAAATCGTTTAAATTAATTTTTCAATACCCCATCAAGACAAAGCAAAAACAGAATTTTAGAAATGTATTATTAAAAATTAAAAAGTGAAATTAAAACTTTACATTATGGGGTTTTGAGTGTAGTTTCATGAGGGGAAATTAATCTAAATGGTTTGAGCATAAGGCTGCAATATAACAAAATGTGAAAAAAGTGAGAGGGTCTGAATAGTTTGTGAACGCACTGTGTTTTGACAGTAGCATCTTAGCCTCTTTTGCATATAGAGAAAATGAAACAAAATGGGGGGTTAAAAAGCTCTTTGAGAATAATTTTAATGTAGTGCCTTATCTAGTGATCAGCTGAACAAATGCAATTCAACCCACAATATTGTTTCATGTTAATTCAATGTTTTGATATTCAGGTAGAACCAGCTTTCATCCTGCTCATCGTAGAGCTTCATTTAAAATAGAATATATATTCTATTTACATTAGGTGTCTTTGGTGGATTCCAGCAAACAGAAATAGCGCGCTCATCTAATGCATGTCCCCAAGTATAGAGAGCCTTAGCATCTGCACTAAAAATAAGCGTACAGTGCATGCAGTGAAGTTCCGTCGGCCTCTGTGCTTTGCTGTCAATCTGAATGACGCTGTTTGGCTGGGAGAGGGCGCTCAGAAAGATGTGTCACCATCGCTCCACCTTTGGGTCTCGGGGCAGTTGGGGGTACTGCCCTGCCAGAGTTGGGGTCAGGGACAGAATTAATTCAACACATGACCTCACCTCTAGTGCTGTCATAGGGTCACTGTAATTCAATTATACCCCAACCCCTCCCATTCCCCCTCCCGACCACGTCAACTGCCCTGTCCTTTAATACATGGGTTCAATAGGATTTGTTTTTCTGTAACGCTTTGCTGTCTCTCACTCAGCCCAGTATTGTAATCTTTGTCTCTTGCAGTGTGTCTGGAGTTCTGCACAGTATAAGTGTGAACTTGACCTCTTGGAAATGTTTTGCACCCCTGTCTTTTTTTCTTGTGGTCTGGCAAGTGCTTGTAATCTGATCGGAGCAAATCAGACCTTGATTGGAGCAGTAGTGGTCAAGTAGGACTAAAAGATGTGCCCTGCTGCATTGAATCCATCTCTAGACTTTAAACACAGTGACTTGTATTTGACTCAAGTCCATTGATCAGGATTTTCCCATGCACTCGTAACTATTGCAGTTTGTTGTTTTGTCCCCCCACTGATTTAAAATAACAAACTCTGAATACTAACAATCACTTAAGAATTCAAATAAAGTATGAATTGCTGATGATTAATTATCTTTAAGAAATTAATGAAATAACTAGGACAGTTTTTGGTCTATGAATAATTGGCATAGTATGTTTCTTAACAAAGCAAATGGGATCTGCCTTGTCAGTAATTTATTTATTGGTTGGTGCACATGTTTATTGTCATGTTTTGTTGTGTACCTGTGCTCTTCAATGCCTGCATTTTAATTGTCACCAAGGGAATGAAAGAAAAACTGATTCAATCGCATTTGCTTTTTAGAGATCATCAACAAAAGAAGGTAATGTCAGGGGTATTGATGGTGCCAAGATATTATTTAAATGTGCTGAGTATGTCTGATGTCCAGTGCAGAGTTTGGATGGGACCTTGATTATTAAGCTGTGCTGCTATTGTGCTCTTTTTGATCAATATTGTGCGGATACCTATATGCAAAGGCAAATATTCAGCATGGCCGTATCCACAGCATTTTATGCACTCAGGACATGTTGCATATACACTCCATTTGCCAGAATTAAAGATCTTTATTTGTGTAAATTTAGCGTCTTTGCTCTCTGCCTCTCTGTCTCTAAGATTGCCCTGGTCTCTAATTTCAGTAATCACATCATTTACGCATAAAGACACAGAACCAAGCATTTAATAAACAGACAAAGATACTCTATTGTGACAAGCAGGCACAAGCACTTTCAGTGAAGATAACACCCAAGCACTGATATAAGAATAAGGGACTGAAGAAAAGATTTCATCTGAAAATTTCAGTTCATTTTAAAAGGAAGATAAAACAAATAATAACTTAGAGAAAACTGGTAGCTTAATGAAAGCACACATGGGAAAAGTCCTAGACCTGCTATTATGAAAAAGCAGTCTATGTCTGTAGAGGAAACAGACATAGAATTAAAATAAGACAGTTGGGGGGGGCAAAAATAACACCTACCACTAATGGCAGGGTTGTGTGCATTTGGTGCCTGTAATTTGTATGCAACTTAGTTATGTGAACTTCATAGTTCTGGTTTGGATTTCCTGTATTACAGGGCAGACACCAGACAGATATTATGGGCTGGGTGCCTGGCAAGTTTCTGATTACATGGGTTCAGTCTGGTGTCCTTGTCTCCCAGTTGAAAAAGTTAAGCAGGCAAAGCAACCACATGTGCCAAATGTGTGAGCGGAGTTAGGCCATGTCCTTACATCAAACACTGTGGGTTATTCCATTACAGTGCATTGTTAGCTGAAGTAGGGCGGCTACATTTCAAAGGTTGTCGTCATACTGTTTGTTTGGTGTAATAGTCAAGATGGCACAATTCATCATGATTTAGTACCACAAATACAGTAAGTACACCACCAGTACTATCAGTGTTATAGCTCTGTGACATCATTCATCTTATATCGTCACCGAGTAGGCACACAATACAGTGTGATTACTCCGAGTGCTGATCGCAGACGTCCCATCGATCCCCAGGGAGCTCAGCCTAATCAACCAGCTCTCTATACAGCCCTGTTGTACACAATAGGCCACTGGCGCGCAAGGTCAGCCTCAAAGTCACACATACCCAGCACTTAAATGTAATGGTTATCTTTTTGTAGTGCTGTCAGTGTGAGTTATTTCATTGGCTTTAATAAGCTTTTGATGTATGTGTCTTCACTGGTGCCTCTCATGTTATAATCTTGGGTGGCTTTTCATGTGAGATGCAGCGAGACCGCTGATGCCTCCTTAAGTTTAAAGTGACTTTTTGTATCAAACCACTGTCTCATGCGACAACCTTTTATTGTCGAATTTGCATTCCCCTATGTACTGCCAATAGATTAATTGCAGTTTGTTACTTCTATAGACAATTTCCTAGCCATTGTGTTTCTTTAATGTCCCATCAATCGTTAGAGCACTAAGAGGTATCCCATGGGGCTACTATGCTAAATACACATGGCTTTAGACAGAAATATGCCCAATAGCTGGTAATATATCGTACCTTACCAGAATTTTGAGAACAAAAAAGTGCACGAAAAACCTCTTAAATCCACCTAAGCTGCCATGTACTACATGAACCTATAAGACAAGGTCCGTAGATTGATTTGGCAATTTCTAACGCTACTACACTGGACTGATGTGATGGAAGTGCCAAAGTGTTTCTGAAAGGGGTGACCAGACAGGGGGCTGGGTTGCTGGAAATTGGATTGTACTTTTAAGTGTCCATATGGTCACCCAGTTCAAAAACTGACAGGGATATAAATTGATTCTTTTTTAATTAAAAGTAACCATATCCACCTTGGAGAGCCACTTGGAGAGTAATGCACTTAACACACAGCTGTGGTCCACACACATCATACAGACAGGCGCATTGAGAGAGAGAGGCTGAGGTGGCGAGAAAGCTAAACAATAGAAAATGCAGTCTGTGAAAGCAGTGGGAGAACGCAATATATGTGAGAAAAACATCTGCAAGATAAAGTGTCGTAGGAATGCAATTTAGAGGCTGGAGAGATTCAATGGGAAGTTGTTTTCATAAGCCAGTGCAGCAATGTCAGAATGGAGGGAGGAAAGGGTCATCGGAGGTTAATGATGTGAGATTAATAGTTTAATTAGGGAGCTCAGTAGCAGGGCCAGAGGCAGTCACCCAAACCCTCTGCTGTGTCCCGGATTCAGCAATGCCACAGGGCGACAAGAACCGCCAGTGTCCTTCCAGAAAAGGGCAGAGAAAGACATTTAATTCTGTGTTCATAGTGATGGCTTTATTGACAAAAGACACTTAAATTCCTTACAGTCTGTTAAAATGTATTACTTGTTACATTCTCACTTAATCTTAGGTTATATGAATTGGAATAATCTGGTATTAACACAGATTTGGACCAATTGATATGGATTTAATTTATGTTGAGAGATATTATGTGGGAAGAACAATTAGCATAAAAGGAATGCCCATACAGCTATTTCGTCACATCCTGGTCATTGATCAGACTCTGCTGAGACTGGAGAAATTCAGGTTAGCCGCCATTAAATAGGACACAATTTAGTATCTTATGGGCACATCACCACACACCCTTGTATTGTTTACTTTTGGAGTATCCTCTAAGGTGCATTTAAAGGCATTTAACTCAACCCAAACAGCCTGTGGACATGGAGCAGAATAAAACATAGTCGGATCTCAAGTGGGATCTATTTCATGGGTAAATGGTCACCTTTACTTTTCAAAGAGGCTAAATCATAGGGGAAGCACCAACGAGCCTGTTGGCACCCGTAAAACCAGAATTTCTTTGTTTCATGTCCCTACAGTAACATAATTTAATTTCCCCTCAGTTTTGGCTAACGTAGAGTTGAATTACTTAAGACCCCTGGGCCGTGTGGGTGAGAGGATGAGAACAATGGTAGGGGTTCTTTGTGGTCTCTGAGGGAAGGCTAATCTAAGGGAGGCAAATTAATGAGGTTAGTGGGGTCACAAGGGGGTGTGTTGTGATGGATGATGAGTTAACCCCAAAATGGGATCTCTGAAGAAGCTGGGAGGCATCTCTGCAGCTGAGCCCCTAACGCAACCCCTCCCGGGATCCCTTAACACACTTAACATTTTCCCCACACTGGTCTATTAATGAGTGTCAGGGTCTGAGCCAAGGTGACCATTGGACTTTACCCACCACCATT